GGGATGGAACCTCACTTGGGCCTGGTGGAGTGGGCTTGGGCCTTGGGTAATTGCTCTCAATAATTTCCTAACAGTTAATTCAAATAAGAGGTATATACTATTCTCCAATCTTCCACATGCGATTATTTACGTATTGGGTAAAAACTTATGGGAGTAGTCAAACTTTGTGTCAAGTTCTTAGCCCAACAAACTTGAAACGCTGATGCATCAATTAATGATTTGTGTTCAGAATTAGTTAACAGAGTCGGAATGACTGAGTTGATTGAAACAAAAGTATAAATTACAAGAGGATGCAGATTTTCGGTGTAATAACGTATTCAAGCTTTGTAGATGTTCCAAGCTATATAAGTTTAATGAATCATTTTTTTGACAAAATAAACATCAGGATGGAAGAAAGTCCTCAGACTGCGAGCGACGATTCTGTGAAGCACGTAGAAGTGAATCCATCAACTAGGTACTCATTTTGTTTTTTCATTCTTTTTGTTGACGTTATTTATTTATTTATTTATGGACCATATTATGACTTTCTTTCATTTCCTGCTGCATAGGGCTCTGCCATTGCCTCTCTCATATAACTAATGAATTCTTGTCAAAATACTTCTAGTGCAAACTGTAGGGAGGAAAATGGTTTGCACCTGGATAACGATACAGATGCTTTTATTCAGAGCAAAAAAATGGTGTCACCAGAGAGGTAACATTTTTCACTTTCAATAGTGAAATAAAAAAATCATTTCTATGTTTTATGATTTCCATTGTTGACAAATTGGGATTCCAGAAATGTACTCTGGAAAATTTTACCAAATTGAAATTGAGAAGATTAAGAAAATGGAAACATCAACATCAATTGCCAATTTTCTCATATAGTTCTTGAGAGTGTCATCCTTAGCAATTGTTTGAGACCAGATCATAACTTCATTTGCCCACTAAAACCTTCTGTATGTAAGTAGAATAATGGTATAACATCTTTGTTGAAGGATTTTTTATTTCCTTTCACTGGATTTTCATTACACACAGTTGTAGGTCGACAAAGTGGTGAAAAACGATTATTTTACCCAATCTCAAATTTTCGAGAACAAGGCTTATTTGATTTTTTTGTCCATAAAATTTTTCTTTGTTCTTTATCACCGTCCTGGGGCAGAAAAAGGCACAATGGAAAATATATGAGTGATAGGTTTGCCCATTGCACTGCGATAAGGTACTTGTCTGTACTAAATATCTGTCCATGGCAGCCTATTCACGTCTGACAAAAATGTTCTTGGGAGTGCTGAAGCGCAAAGCACAGCAAGGGGCATCAGGCATGTTTTTGTCTTGAAGTATATGCTTGAAATACATCTCGCTTTTATAAATCTATGTGCTTAATTTTTAGTGTTTTTCATCGGAACCACTGCTTTTGCTTTTGTCTGTTATATAGTAGCTGCTGAAATTGGATTACTTTCTAAAATACTTGAAAAATCTTAATCTGAAATTCCTCTGAAGTAACACTGGTATAATCTGAAATTCCCTATGGTATGCAGAGTTGCACTTCAGTACTGCATACTAGGCATCCCCTTAGTTAATGCTCATTTTGCTCAACCTAGTGGTGTAATTAACGCAGGAAGACAACCGCCACTTATACACCATTGGATAGATCCAAACATGATACATTCGAGACCAAAATGTCAAATTCAAATCAAATGGAACCCCTCGAGAGAGAGGGAAATGGTCCAGATTTTCACCACTACCACCATCACTACCAGCAGCAGTCTACAGAGCACGTGGAATATGAGAACAATCATCTGCCATACGCATCCCACATTCCAAACAAGGACACCACCGACCACATCTTTCTAATCGTGTTTGCTATACTACTTGTCGGTTTTGTTCATATCCTGCTACTGGGATTTAAATTTACTCATTAATGGTGTGCTATGTACTGTTAAGGATTTGTTGTTATATTATTTTATAATTCTATATTTTGTTGTAATCTTGTAATACAGTGTGTTTCCAAATGCCATATCTCTTGCTGGGACTCTTGTATGGTAAACTATACTTGTATTGTATAAATAAAACTCTACAATAATGTAATAAAGCTAAATTCCCATGTGTTCTTTACTGGCATGTTTGGTTGCATTCTCGATAGGACTTGGCAATATTACGAAGAGAAGTTAGAGCTTTCACCTGTGAATTTTTCTTAATGATATATTAACATTTTGCAGCAACAAACTTGAAAGGTTTATTGGTTCAAAATCCCCTTGATCTTTGACCCTATTGTGCAATACCCATCTATTCTTTCAGATTGGCAAAAAACCCCCCATATTTGACATTTGAGGTGCAAAAGACTTCATACCGTCCGATTCCATTAGTTTAGGCTAAAAATAGTGTAAATGACCAAAATTAAAAAGAACCAATTGTAGCAGCTATTCCAAACTTTTCATTTTTATAGATTATACCAAAACTTTTTATTTATGTCGCCCACAGTTCCAAACTTTTAAAACTTCATATTATTTACCAATTTTGTAGGATAAAATGGTAATTTTATATAGAAAAATCCAATCCCCGCCCCCACATCTTCCCCCCCAAATTTGCGAAAGCCAATCAGATTCAATCAACAATCTAAAACCCAAACAATCAATACAGGGGAAAAAAAAAAAAGGAATTAAGGGGGACTTATAAACCAAATATACAAAACAAAAATTTATCTGTTTTACATCCAAAATCGTGCTAAGAATTAAGAACCAGGAACCACCGAAATTTCCTTTTCAAGGATTTTTGTCACTGCTTGGTGAAGATTAAAATCTGATTTTCAATAATAAAAGTTGTTGAAATGTATGATTAAAAAGTTGTGGGACTCATGAAATATGTGATTAAAATTGATTGTTAACTTTAATTTATAATAAATTTTGAATTTTAATCAGTATCAAACAGGGTATCTTTGAATAAATTTAAGTCAATCAGATTCAATCTTCAGAGGCAAAAATAGATTTTTAACAATTATAATCAAGAGAATTGAAGTCCAAATATTTAATTCAAAACTGAACCCAAAAAAGAAAAGAAAAGAAAAAACAAAAACAAATTTGTGAGCCAAGGAGATGAAAATATTAAATGGGAAGAAAGGGGCATCAATTCTTGTAGAGGAAGTACAAATGGAAAGTATTAAGTTAGATGTTGAGATTTGGACCCGTGATGGGGAAATTATTGAAAATACTCCAAATTCAACCATACCCTTT